AGTAGGTAAATCTGTTCTCAATAACCAATCTGGCAATTATTTACGCTTTGTGGAGGACGCAGATTTCAATGCAAACATTTCTCACAAGCGGAGTGGGTGAGATGCCAGGGGGACTTAAAGCACGAATTAGGGAAGCAGGTTTCAAAATCAACGCATCGAAAACAAAACTAATATAAAATGCCAGCAAGCCGTGGAAAATCGCAACGGAACGGCGCAGATTTAAAAGAAACTGAGAATCACGTGTGTTATAATCAAAAAGCCGGTGGACGCCATAGCCTCGATAAAAAAATCTGTGGGGATATAGCGAGTTTCATCCCACAGCAAATGCCCTAAACTGTTCAAATCAACGAGCTATTTGCGATTCCACCATCATAGTGCTGAATATAGTGATGTATGGGTGAAAACTTCGCATGTGAAAGTAAAGGGGAAAATTGTTGGCGGAACGAGGTGAATGATAATATAGGGGATTTCTACAGCTACGCAAAACGAGAAATACTCCTTGTACCACGGAGGGACGTGAACTGTTAAGCAAGAGTTATTGCTTGTGCCTCCATAGCGGCATCTGGACACCCATCACCCACCATCCTCCAACCACTGTCACCGTTAATCGTTTGGAACTTCTCACAAGTGTCCTTGCTCCTCTCTTCTATCCTGCAGTACTGCTTATCTGTATATATCACTTATGCATAAGTGGTACTCGAAAAAGTAGTAGAAAACGACCGCCCCTTGAGGGAGTAGAACGCAGTGGATACTTTGAGAAGTAGGAAGCTTAGGGCAGAACCTGATGTCGTTGCACTAGCTTGAACAGCGGTTGATTTTACTCAAAAAATTTTTAAGTCAAAAACTTTTGTCCTTTTAACGAGAGATATAAACAAATCAATAAAAAAAGATAACCTGTAGCTGTTGTTGCACATTTGCGTCTGCTAGTGAAGCAAGATAGACAAGATTTCGATGCAGCAATTGCTGGTACTGGAGCGCATCGTTTGCCCTGAAAAAGAACATTTTTTAGCAATCAGAAAAGTCCAGTTCCCACAATTTTGTCACCCTCTAGTCAAAACCTACTCCAAATTTATTCTCCCTGAAAAGCAAAGGTACAGGAAAAGAGTCAGAGTGGTAGCAAATGCCAACAACTGCACAGCTGCTAATGGCTTCCTCCATGAAGGTTGCTCAGAAGCAGGTGGAGCTGAATTTGAAGTTTTTAAATTATACGAGTACTGGGAACATCCTCCTGAAATTTCAGCCTCCCAGTTCTCCTGGTTCCCAAGTTAGAAATTTTCCCAGCAAAACTTCCACGTGCCCTTACGCGGGGCCCAGACGTGCGTGAAGGCTTCTGACCTTCTGATATACATCAGTACCAATTTACCATCGAAATGAATGAAAGAAGCACAGAAAGTGGACAGAGTCAAACCACTGACCCTCTGCACAACAGCAGTGCTAGTTGTTACTGTGCTAT